TAGATTTCCTAAGGAATATCCAGTGCTTATACCTGCTTACATAGAAGGGATTCACTTTCACTAGGATGGTTTTCAGAACAGGTAGTTTAAGTAGTATGGGGTGGAAGAGGTAAGAGCTATGGCTACGCAAGGAGGAATGACTCGCCTCAATAACAACTATGAGACCCCCTGACTCAAAGGGTGTATTCCAGGAGATGGAATAGACAATGACCTATCTCCATTGACTCTGACACCTTCTTCCACTTCTGCTGTGGCCACAGGTCCTTATTGGCTGAGGTACAGTCTCATCAGCACCTCCCAATGTATGTGGGCTGTGATCATTCAAGATTGCCCAGTTCTATTGAATGAAAGCGCTCCTGGAACTCTGAGCAGCTCATAGGCGGTCATTTCCTCTGTTTCAAATCTGATAGAGCAGATAGAGTCGAAGGATCTAATTTACTACCTAGCTTACATAGAGATATTGCTAGAATAAGCTCTATTACCACCAAGAAAAATTTTAGGAGCAATTCGCACTAAATTCTGTTCCTTGTTAAAATATTGTAGCTGGTAAGTTTGCAATATGGCTATTTTCTATTACCACCAAGAAAAATTTTAGGAGCAATTCGCACTAAATTCTGTTCCTTGTTAAAATATTGTAGCTGGTAAGTTTGCAATATGGCTATTTTCTATTGAAAGTTTTCAAACGGATTACTCTCATTGTCAAAATTTATTAGACTCAGAAATTACTGTCATTTAAAATGAGATTTGTCCTACAGCAAAACAGGTTAGATACTGCTGATTGGAGCTGGAGAAATACCATATAGCTCCCTGGCTCTTCACGGGCCTGGGGGAGGGAGCACTGCGTGGTCCAGCCATCATGGTACGTTTCTGACCTGCTGATTTTCTCGCTCTTTTGGAAAGAAACATTTATTTAGGGATCTTGGAAATTTTTCTTACATTTCAACAGGACACCATCTGAGGAGTTTTCAATCTCCTTGACTATTAATCTTACATTTTACTTTTTAAATAGTGAATTGAAAATGATGGCAACAGAGATGAAAAGAAAGAATATTCCAATTCAGAGATAAAAGTAACTAAAAGACAAGATGAGCTGGCACTATATCTATCTAGTATATCTTAGCAATATCTATTATTCATTTCAAATGTTATTATTACAAATTGTATATTTACATAAATCTCTCCAAGTTTTTTGTATTAATAAAAATGTAGGAGACCTAGGACTGTCTTCTTTTGAATGAGTTATTGCTCTTTATTTTCTATTTTTGTATTTACCTACAAATTTGCTAACATCCTTTTTTATTTTTAAGCATAATCTTCTTGAAAGGCAGAGATTTGTTGATTTCTGTTAATCAACTTTCTTGGAGAACTGAAAGATTATATGAGAAGAAGTCAACAGAATGTGCATCAAGAGACAGAAAACAAACATAAAAAGGTAATAATGTCCATATTACCATACATCAAAGAATAAATACCTGTATTCATATAATATAGAAAATGAATTAAAAAGTCATGTTTCTTTTTTATTTCCTTTTGTTATCTGAGCAATTTCCAAAGACTTGTTTACCTAATTTAGACCTTAAAATGATAGTGCTAATGGATTTCTTTTTTAAAGAAAGTATTTTCAAAGTTTTTGTCACAGTTTTGGACGAGATGGACAGGTGGTGATGATAGTTATAAAAATGCTCTGCTTCATATTGTTTCATATTACGCTAATCTTATAAACCCAGGGAAATAATATTTAAACTGTAGGAATATAAGTTTAGCTTATTTCATAACCACAGTACAAAATTCAGAACCTCTCCAAGTGTAGAATTCAAGTACCCCTTTCATTTAGTCTGCATAAACAGGGACCAAACATTTAACATCCCTTGTTTTTATAGTTCTTTTACATTTTTTGGCCACAAAATAGAGGGTTCCTCTAAGCTGATATGCTTTCAAGTTCAAAACATTGTTTCTTATGTCTTCAAGGGCCTTGCTTACTTCACTTTCTTGCAAACTAGTTTTTCAATAACAGTGTCCTGAAACATTTTCTTATATACAACATTCAAGCAGGTATGATACTCTAATTAATTCATATATTGTCTGATGTTTTCCTACACATATAATACAGTCCATTTCTTTACAATTATTCAAGTATATACTCCAGAAAGAATGATTTTTAAATTACATGGATAATTCATAGCACTTTTTCTTTAAAAAAAATCATTTTCAAATGATTAAATCAGATTGTGTATATTTCCTAGTAAAGTAGACAACATATCTTGCAAAGCAAACAGACAATAGAAACTATTTAGAATGTGTAATTTTTAGCTAAAAATAAAATTAATACTTTTAACTAACACTTTCTAGGAGACAAATGTAATTGAGAAATCATCTCCCAGGGGTGTGGCGCTGCCACAATCCCTTCCCTGTACACCTTTTGGGATTTTGCACATGCACCCCCTCACACCTGGTGTGAACTGCAAGCTACCAGTTACAGACTGGAATAACAGTCAGCCACAGAAGAGTCTAGAACCTTAACTACTATGCCACGTGCTAGTCCCTTAACTAACACTATCTAATAACACTTTTGAGTTCTTGCCTATCTACTAATTTACTATTATCATGAGACAGAAAGATGTATGAAACAAAACTCACACTTTTAGAACTGGTTACAGGAGGCATTTCAGTTCAAATAAATAGCATTTGGTATCATACCCTCTTAAGTTTTTAAGTTTTATCTTGCGTATATGTTCTTTGAAGACAGAAAAATATTAGTAATCAACTCTGTACCTTTAAGAGGTGTCTGAAAAGTCAACTCATATGAATCTACTCTAACTCTAGAATTGAAAAAGACCCAGGAATGGGCGGCCAGTGACCTGAACTCTTATGAGGTATGAGGAAAAATAAGCAGACTTACACCTTCTTTTCTACTGTACGTGGTCCTAAACATACAGGAGAACTCCTCAATTGATACCCCTAGTTTTCTCTGTACTCTGAGCCATCACTTTACATTACTCAGTAAGGCGGTGGGTTGGCTCTGTGTGATGACATCAGTGTTTTTGAATAACTCGTATGCAATTTACTGCTTCACATAAGCCTGCCTCAGAACTTGTGTTACCTGTGCCTGATACCCTCCACAGTGATTTACAGTAATTTTCCAATTATTTTTAGTATTAAACCCATTCTCTCATAAACGTAAAAATAAAATCAATAACCAATATAAATTACATTTATATCCACCACAATAGGATATAATCATATTTTCTTAGGTGTGTGTTAGCTCTGTAGAAAGCATGCATTCTCCATGAGTAGTTAAAAACAATAACTTAATTTATACCATTTGTATTCAAAAGCTGTGGTGTTGCATATATTAAGAATTGTTTTAACTTGTGCTGATTGCATTGGTAAAGAGATGTCTGTGTAACAGATGATGGAGGTCTGGAAAAACACATCATTCCAGCCATCACTTGTTCAGGTAAAAGGAGGACTTCTTGGGCCACAAACTGGAATTGAAAAGAAGCCACTGGATATGAAGTGAAACCTTAGTGCCACCTGGTCTTAACATAGAGGTTTAAGGATGTGTAGAAAGGAAACTCAGAAGAGAGGGCATAGAAATCATGACGTCCACAAAACGTCATCGGTTTTTATCCCAGATTTGACTGGTACATATTAAATAGGACAAATGCTCCTCTCAAAGGTAGCTTGAAAAAGCTGAAAATCAGAACGTAGGAAAACTTTGTAACAAACATAAGCTTGAGAGTAATCTTGCTACCTAAATTACAGATTTTAAATATATATATATATATATATATATA